TCTCTCACACACACACTTCCTTGCTATACCTTTCTCCTCCCACTTCTCTCTCTCTCCTCCCGTCCATTTCAACACCGAGGGGGGTCAGGGAGCCAGGATGAAACTGCCCCTCTCCCTCCAGTTCCAACTTGGTCAGTATAAACTTCGGGGTTGGAAGAAGGGGGAGAAGGGAGGCGGACGTTTCCTTCTGGGACCGGAGCCTGGCTCCGAGGAGGGAAAGCGTGGGAGGAGGTTGGAAGACTTGGGCAAACGGCGGCCCGTGGAAAGAGGCGGGCGCCTGGCACTGCCAACGCTGCAGTGGTTGCCTTTTGGATGGAGGAAAAGAAAAGGAAACGCTCCGGGGGGAAAGAAATCTCTCCATTGCGCAACGTTGGCCATCCCCTGCTTAGCTGAGGACGCCGCGGCTGTTTGGGGCTCCTCTTTGTCTCGGCCGTCGGTGCTGAATGGCGCCCCGCCCCCTCGGAGCCCCTCCCCTCGCGCCCCTCCCCTTTCCCCCTCTTACCCCACCCCCGACGTGACATTTTGTTCCGGGATATATCACCCCCTGTTTGGAGAAATCGGGAGTTTTTCCGAAGCTGCAGCCAGTCGGGAGTCGGAGAAGGAAAGGAGCAAGACAACCCCCTTCCCAAACTCCCCACGGCGTCGGATTGGATCATCTCCCTTTTGCGTGGTTTTTAAAAAACTTTATTCTTCTTATCACCATCATCCTTCGCTTCGGGAAACTTGGGGCAAAGAGAGTGCTTTTCGTCTCAAACCTGCGTGGAGTGTATCGCACGGATTTAGTGTTTTTCCTTCTCCCCAACCGTCGATTTTGAATTTCACTTTTGCGGGGCGACGAAGAGAACAACCTCTTGATTTTTGGGATTGCTTGGCAAACAGTCCCTCGGCTCTCTTGTGTTTTCCAGAGGAAGCTGTGGAAACTGGGAGAGGGATTGGATCCCCCGCTTCTCATATTTTGGATGGAATAATACCGCTACCAACTGGATAATATCCAAGAAGAACCCCCATTTTTCCCTCTCGTGGACTCCAAACTCAGCCCTGGGATTAAGCTCTAACAATCCCAGGAAGAAAACATTGAAGAGCGTTGGGTGGGTGTTGTTGTTTCGTTGCTTTCTGCGCCTCCATTCCTTTGGAAAAGCTTGGCTTAGCATCCTTTGCCATCTGAGCCTTGGTTGAGCCTAACCCAAACACCTAGGTTATCAGTGGGTCTCCTTTAAGAAAGGGAAGTGGGATATACTACTACTGCTACTACTACTTTTCTTGGTGACTTGGGCTTCCAAGGCTTCTTTAAAGGCACTGATTCAGAAAATGGCATGGATAGACCACATCAGTTTTGTGTGTGTGTGTGTGACTTGAGAAACTGCAAGTCTCTTCTGGTGTGAGAGAATTGGCTGTCTGCAGAGACGTTGTCCAGGGACACCGAGATGTTTGATGTGTTTACCACCCTTGTTGGGGGCTTCTCTCATTTCCCTGCATGAGGAGCTGGAGCTGACAGAGGGAGCTCAACCCGCTCTCCCTGATTCTGCCATTGCGCCATGGGGGGGGGGGGGCATCAGTTGTGTGGCATCAGTTGTAGTTTCTTAGATATTGTTATGGTGCTTTTCTATGAGCCAGAAGATTGGTATATTTATTTATTTACGACATTTATATGTTGATTTATTGTTTTTTTTGTTTTGTTATGTGATTTATATTAATTGTATTGCTTTGATTGTTTTGTTATTGCTTTTGTTTATTGATGTACTGTGGGCTTGGCCTCATGTAAGCCGCACCGAGTCCCTTGGGGAGATGGTAGCGGGGTATAAATAAAGGTATTATTATTATTATTATTATTATTATTATTATTATTATTATGCCGCCCTTCTCACCCCTAAGGGTACTCAGAACGGCTTACAAGATATATATATATATACACACACATACATATATATAGACATATATATATATATATATATATATATATATATATACACACACACCCACATACATACAATATATTATATTATTAGCATAGTATAATATCAGTATTAAATATTACTATATTATACTATACCATTATATTGTAATATTATTAGTAATATTATATGTAATATGAATATAAAATTATAATATCATATTATAATTATATTGCATTATATTTTAATATTATTAATATTATATGTATATACAATATATTCCCTTGAAGGAGCTGGGGGTAGTGATGGCGGACAGGGAGCTCTGGCGTGGGCTAGTCCTTGAGGTTACGAAGAGTCAGAAACGACTGAACAAATGAACAACATACAATATATTATATTGTTTATATATTATATTATATTATATTTATTATATTTATTATATTATATTATATTATATTATATTATATTATATTATATTATATTATATTATATTATATTATATTATATTATATTATATTATATTATATTATATTATATTATATTATATTATATTATATTATTAGCATAGCACAGGAGACAAGGTGGAACTGTCCCCTGGCCCCCCCTCTCTTCACTCTGGCCCAGAGCGGCAGTTGGTGATGGGGAGGAGAGGGGTCCCCAATATGGCATGTATGTTCTATTATCTCAAAAATTAGAGCTGATAGGGGGAGTGGTGGAGTCTCCTTCTTTGGAGGCTTTTAAACAGAGGCTGGATGGCCATCTATTGGGAGTGCTTTGAATGCGATTTTCCTGCTTCTTGGCAGGAGGTTGGACTGAACAACAAGCTCTCTTCCAACTCTAGAATTCTATGGTTCTGGAATCAGCCAAAACTAGAAACAGGTCTAATACTTGAGGCACTAAAATGTATGCTAGCCAGTGAACAACAACAGCAGCAGCAACAACAACAAAGAAATAAATCAGAACTGTTAACTGCTATGGCTCAACCCCATGAAACAAGGCTAATGTTGTGATACATACAGAGTTTTCACACGCAGGACCTTGGGTCCTTCCACACAGCCCTTTATCCCAGAATGCTAGGGCAGAAAATTCGACATCTGAGTGTGGACTCAGATAACCCAGTTCAAAGCAGATATTGTGGGAATTTCTGCCTTGATATTCTGGGATATAGGGCTGTGTGGAAGGGTCCCCTGTTGTCTTCTCCAGGGATGGAAGTCTGGATTCTCCAACCAGGAGAAACTGCAAGTCGCTTCTGGTGTGTGAGAATTGGCTGTCTGCAAGGATATAGGGCTGTTTGGAAGGGTCCTCTGATGTCTTCTCCAGGGATGGAAGTCTGGATTCACCAAACAGGAGCAACTTGAGAGACTGCAAGTAGCTTCTGGTGTGAGAGAATTGGCCGTCTGCAAGGACATGTTTTACCGCCCTGTGGGAGGCTTCTCTCATGTCCCCACACGAGAAGCTGGATCTCCCAGGTGAAGGTCTCTTCCACACGACACAATTACAGCGCTATGATTCCACTTAACTACCTGCAGCGCCATTGATTAGAACTCTAGTATTTGTGTTGTGATAAAAGAAGGCTCTCCTCCCTTCCCAAACTACAAATTTTCAAGTTCCAGGGCAGTTAATACTGCTGTAAATCTGACTTTGAGAGTTAAAGGCGTCCAGTGTTTTGGGACTCTCATGCAGATCATCCCTGACCATTGACCTGGCTGGCAGAGGATGATGAGCCTTGTAGTCCAGACAGGTAGGATGACCATCCATCCCATACAAGGACTAGATGGCTCCTTCTAACTCCAGGTTATGATGATAGATGATCACCTGAAAGGTTTAGAAAAAGGAGAAAAGGTTTATAAAAAGGAGAAAAGGGTTAGGAAATCTATTTATAAAGTGTGGAACTTCACAAAGTTGCCTGTGTTGAGTTTTGGGAAGAAAAATCCTTCATCACACCAGGACTGGGAGTCAGCTGCATCAAGATCACTACTGACCAAAAGGTCATGAGTTCGAAGCCAGCCCAGGTCAGAGTGAGCTTCCGACCAATTTGTGTAGCTAGCTGTTGACCTTTGCAGCCCAAAAGACAGTTGCATCTGTCAAGTAGGAAATGTAGGTACCACTTATGCGGGGAGGCAAATTTACCACGGCACCATAAAAATCTCCAGCAAGTATGCAAAGAACGAGGAAGTACTCCATCAGTGTCACAAATGGACGGTGAAGCACAGCTCCCCTGGTGGCCAGAATACCCTCATCAAAAGCTGGAATGTTAAATAGCCTCTGTGTGTCTGTCTATATATGTTGTGTGTCTATGGCATTGAATGTTTGCCATGTATATGTACATTGTAATCCACCCTGAGTCCCTTGCGGGGTGAGAAGGGCGGAATATAAATACTGTAAATAAATAGAGAATGAATCCACTTAAAATCCAGTTTCTGGCTCCTGCAGAATTCTGGGGTTTGTAGTTTAGTGAGGCTGTTAAAGGCTCCTCCCTAAACTACAAACCCCAGAATTCTGCAGGAGGCAGAAACCGGATTTAAAGTGGATTCATTCTCTAATGTGATGAAGTCCTTGGACTGTGTTTGTGGGCTTTCAAAGAGTAGAAGACCTTACCTTACTGTGTTTGTGGGCTTTCAGAGTAGAAGGCCCTTAGCTATCCCCAGGATACTGGGAATTGTAGCCCCAAAACAACACTTCCCAAATCCCTTTGGGACTGGATCTACACTGCCCTGTATCCCAGATTATCTGCTTTGAAGTGGATTATATGAGTTCGCACTGGGCTAAGCAAAATGCATTGAAGACTGGGAAAGGAGTTTCCCTCATTTCCTTTTATTTTGCTCCCTCCAGCCAAGATTCCAGTGTAGATGGGAGTGAAAAATCGCATTTTGAAACCGCTGGCGAACGATGGGGTTGGATGTGGTTTGCTGAGCTCCGGAATCCTTCCTTTTTTTCCCTTGGAAAAGGTTGACTCGGCAGTTTTCTAGCTTTCCACTCTTTTTTCTAAACCTTTCCAGTAGGAAGGCTCTCTGCCCTCCTTCGCAGGGAATTAGAGTGGCAACTAGGCGCCTCCAAGTTTGGGAACGAGGAGAGGAGTCAGGCCAAGGGAGGAGCCAAGCGGTGGCCGTTCTCTTCGGTGGTGGCCACGGTGTGATGTGGCGGGGCGGGTCGGCTGGATGCCGCTTTCTCCAGGGAAATGAGCAGCCCGCCGTTGGGTCGCCTCGGCCTCGGCAGCAGCGTCTGTGGGCGAGAACTGTTGTTGATCCTGCGGGAGAACAGCCAGAGATTGAGTTAGTTTTGCAATGCTCTACTGCCCTCTAGTGGCGTTTGCCACAAATAGCAATAGCACGCATAGGCGGCTGTCAAAGTAATTCCAGCCTTCCCTTCTTTCCTCCCCACTAGGCTTGTTTGATCCAAAAAAAAAGTTCAAAACTCATTTTGGATGTTGGTGGTTCAATTCCAAAGTCAATTCCGATTTTCACAGAAAAAATGTTCAAAACTTTTTTGAGACTTCCAAACCCTTTCATTAATTGTTTGAAAGTGTTTATTTGGGTTTCATTGGGTGGTCTTTACTTTCAAATTAGTTGTTTTACTCCAGAAGCGGGGGAAAAACAAGCAGAGGAGATGCCTTCCTTCTCTGGCTTTAAAACTGTCTTCTCTGGCTTGAGCCAAAAGCGAGAAAAGCAAACAGAGGAAATTCATCCTTCTCTGGTTTATATCTGGCTTCTCTGGCTTTACAACTGGCTTCTCTGGCTTGAGCCAAAAGTGGGAAAAGCAAACAGGATATTCATCCTTCTCTGGTTTATATCTGGCTTCTCTGGTTTGAGCCAGAAGTGGGAAAAGCAAACAGAGGAAATTCATGCTTCTCTGGTTTATATCTGGCTTCTCTGGTTTTAAAACTGGCTTTTCTGGTTTGAGCCAGAAGCAGGAAAAGGAAATGTGGGAAATTCATCCTTCTCTGGTTTATATCTGGCTTCCCTGGCTTTAAAACTGGTTTCTCTGGCTTGAGCCAGAAGCGGGAAAAGCAAACGGGGGAATTCATGCTTCTCTGGTTTATATCTTGCTTCTCTGGCTTGAGCTAGAAGTGGGAAAAGCAAATGGGGAAATTCATCCTTCTCTGGTTTATATCTGGCTTCCCTGGCTTTACAACTGGCTTCTCTGGTTTGAGCCAGAAGCAGGAAAAGCAAACGGGGAAATTCATGCTTCTCTGGTTT